ATTGCCCTGGAGCTCGCCACATTCATGGATGAAATATCTCCACGTCTGTGGAACATGGCGGGATCTCCTGCAACAAATGTCGGCTGTCTGGGATAACATCGAGGCAACCAAAGCGGAAGTGGCGGAATACAAGTCGGCTCCCGGTCGAGCACGAAAGTCAGCCGTGGAAGCCTTCTTCGCAGATGACGATGAGGTGGAGCCAGGCGGAACTGATGACAAGGTCCTCGCAGTGCTGAAAAGAGATTCATCGCACATCATGGGCTTGAAGCTTGATATGCCGAGGGAGCTATGGCAACGATTGGAGCGAAGCAGTCCCATTCCTTGGATATTCAGCCACTTGAATGACCTGCATGTCACACCACCGAGCAGATGGCGCGGTCAACCACGGATTCCCTTCCTCGCTCCGCATCTGCGGGTTCTGCGTTCCGATGGCTTCGAGGCATATGCCATCCATCAATTGGTGTCATCTAGTCTGACGACGTTGGTCCTCCTTCATGCTGGTAGTCAGCGAAAACCGCACGTTCTAGCGGCACTGCGAGCCGTACCAAATCTAGAGCAGCTCCCCCTTCGAGTCTGTCTTGCGGAGGAGGAGAAAGGTGGTATGGATGCTATGATGATCGCAAATCTCCCGGCCCTTAGATACTTTGAGTTCTGCCTTGAATGGGAGGAGAATCTCTGGCTTCTAGGAGCGCTCCGTTACCCAGACACGACCTCCGTGATATTCGGCCTCTCATACGTCCGTGAGTGGGGGACGGCTGCCCTGCTTGAAGGCGTCGGCACGATTATCAACGGAGTTGTATTGAAGAAGGCGCTTCGTCGTTGTACCATCCGTATCTGGGGCACAGATGGCTTGATGATCTGGTTCTCAAGACTGCCGGGAGATACGGATCATACAAGGAGGGAACAAGTGATTACATTGATCTTTCGTGGCTACAAAGACAAGGATGAATACGGCAACTTGGGACTTCTGACTGAAAGCACCAGCTCGCAGCAGTCGAACACTTCCATGTCCAGGAAATGGTGGTTCGCACTGCGGCAAGCGCACATGCATGGAAGAACGTACTTCGAGCGGAAGACATCTCCACGAGGGAGTCAATCTCACGGACGAGGACGCCAGGCAAGTGGAGCTGGATGTAGGTACCACAGAGGTCGTGATCGATCCAAGATAGATGTAGATGTAGAGGCGGAAGGCAGTAGCACCAGGAGGAGCTGCAATCCGGAAGGAGAAGGCAGTGGGACAAGAGCAGGATATAGTTTCAGAGGATGACGGTGACTATATCAGGGAAATTTGTCAGAATCTGTGTATTGCAGCCTAATGATCCTGTACGTGATCACGTATCACCTCGTATCTGAATATACAAGAGTACCTTGGGTCTGTGCTTCTAGCAATCGAGTACCTGCAGCTCCATAGATACGAACATGCCCGGAAGGTCCTACTTTGGGCGATAACATGGGTGTAAGCCGCACCACATCTGGACGACAGCGGCATTATCCTAGCGGAGGGCCTGCGAACCCTTGAGGCTGAGGGGACGAAGCTCGTCAAAAGGATACTCCATAGTCTTCATCTAAATATTGTGCAATAATCCAAGAGCGTCCATTGTCGAACTCATGCACATACATAGTACACCCGCCTCGTATTGTCGTTAAGAACAACTTCATGACTTTACTACCCATCCGAGTATCAGAGGCCCTTGAGCGTCTGTTCGCATTGTATTAGTGAAGAGTTCAGATATTCAAAGTCGGTCACCTCGCCAGAGTGGTTGATAACCCACAACGCTAGAGTTCAAGAGATCCGGTATGGCGCACGTTGAAAGGGAGTGGTTTCCTAGTTCCTCGCACACGGACGGAGACGAACACCATATCTTGCATCCGCTGCCCATGCGGGAGGGTCTCCGATGGCGCGGCACGAGGACCGTGCGACGGAGGCAAGCGTGGGAGATGCCACTCCTCGCGCATAACAGGGGCAAACACGACGTTAAGTGCCACAACCGCGCCAAGTTGAACTTGCCTCGCTCCTTGACACAAAACCAACACTAACCACTTATCCTCGAACACTACCCTATTATCCAATATCAGCGACGATGCCTCGACCGTATGGAAGGCAGACTCATCTCACCGTGGTTGGCTTGTCCCAACGCGAGGTGAGCCGGTGGTACCCTCGCTCGTGCTTGTTGTCCGGGGACTCTAACCCGCTGGTACAGGATACGCATAGGCTGTCGCCAATCCGTCGTTTGCCTGCAGAACTAATGGTCGCCATCCTCATCGACGCTATCGTCGATGAGAAGGCCGCATCAAAGAAAGAAGGGCGCTCGCCACATTCTTGGCTAAAATTCCTCCACGTTTGTGGCACCTGGCGTCAGCTCATATACACAAAGTCAAGCCTCTGGACGGAGTTCAACGCCACGAGTGCGGACGTAACGCAGTACATGCTGGATCGCAGCGGCGCACAGAAAGCGGTGGTGAAAGGGTGCATGCGCGGGTACCCCGAGGAGAGGTGCGAAGGGATCCTCTCGGTTCTGCAGAGGGAATCGCGGCGACTTGAGAGCCTGGACCTCGACATGCACACGGAGACATGGCGGGGTTATTGCCTCGGCAACCCAGAGCCCTGGATGCTGGACGAGCTCGAGTCCCTAACGGTCGCGATGCCCATGTTCTGGTATGCGCAGGCGCATCTACCATTCTCAACCGCGAAGCTTAAAACGCTAGAATCTAAGAACTTTGACTTCCGCGCCATCTGGCCACTCATGGGCCCCACACTCAAGAAGCTCGTTGTCAGACTTGATGCGGCGCTACAGACACCGAGGGCCGTCCATGCCACTATCCGAGCGGTCCCCAACCTCGAGGATCTCACCCTGCACGTCAGGCTATGGAGGATCAACTTGATCGACTACTTGGTGACCCCGCAGAGCATCACTCTCCCATGCCTGAAACGCATCGAGTTGTACATCAACAGCGAGGAGCATCTGCGGCTGCTTGCCCTGCTCCAGTATCCTATCACGGCATCGACCACTTTCCAGCTGGACTGCCAAGACTCGTTGGTAGTGTCCGCCCTTATCAGCGGAGTCAGCCAGGCCGTCAACGACGTGGTGGCCAGGCAGGGCCTCCATCACTGCACCATGGGGGAGTTCAACACGTCCGGGATCCAGATCACATTCGCCAGGTCCAGGCAAGAGATGGAAGCGGGGATGAGTGAACAGGAGTTCAAGCTGGCCGTTAGTGGCTACCAGGTCGATCAGGAAGCCAATAGTATGGGGCAGCTTGCCCAACACCTCGCGCCTGCATTCGCATTGATAGAACACCTGCAGTTTCCCAGAGCAACCAACCGAAATGACAGACGTGCCCATGCTTGCAAGGTCCTCTTTCGAGCGATGATTGGGGTGCGGGAGCTGGAGGCTGTCGGGGGGAAAGCAGCACAATTCCTATGGCAGATACTAGCCCCCCGTCCGGCTCAAGGGACGACCGGGGCCGGAAGATTGTGCCCCAATCTCGAGAACGTAACCTTGCGCTGGATGCCGTTTGGTTGGCCAGAAGAGGAGTCCAAGATTGATAAGGCTTTTAGGAATCTGCTAAGCTTTGCTCAGTGTCTCCAAGTCGGAAAATACCGAACAAACCTTACCATCGTGGACGGGATAAATCTCCCGGATGAAGTTGTGGATCGCGTGCGAAGCATTATGGTGAACCTGGGGTGGGGTGGGCAAATCGTGGTCCGGGGGGGTTGGAAATTGTAATAGCGGGTGGAATAACAATGAGCGGGTCGGATGAGAGGTGTGTCCAGAGCGCGGGATGTCAATCGAAGAGTGCAAAGTTCCCTCGGGTCGTGTCGTATCCTGTTTCGTACTATACGTCCTACTAGCATACTCTACCTTTCACCGTCCTGACATAAGAGTCTCTTGACTCTCTATTCTCTGTGGAATGCAGAATGCTTCAAAGTTCCGACGAGCCCTGCGATCTTACCAGATCAGTTCTTCATCTAGTCACCAGAGTCGAGGTGATCAGAGCGATTCCTGGGTCATTGCACGAGCCTTTTCTCTTTGAATCCGCTTTCGTTTTCAGAGAACGCGCGCTTCGTGAACCTGCCAGAGGACGACCGACGTAGCTTTTGCTGCCGCAACGACAAGTGAGAGAGAGGAACAAAACCGGCCAATGGCGTCGCGACAATAAAGGCTCCCACGATGAAAGGAGACCATAGAATACAATGTACAGTAGTGGTACACACTGATAGACATATTATTATATCAATTATTACAAATACTCCTGTCTCACAAGCACTCCCACTTCTGACCATCCAGCGCAACCAGTCGGTTAAACAACTCCTCCCTCTTCTCCACCGCCGTACACAGTCTCGCCTTCCCCTCGCGGTCCACAATCTCCAGCCCATCCACAATCTCCATCCCTAGCGCATACCCAACGACCAGCCTCCCCTTCGCCCCCAAGCCGCCCACCTTCTTCAGCTCCCTGATATCGCTAATCGCGACGCTCCACTTTGGGTCGTCCTTCCCCGCCGGCTCGAACGACACGCACGGGCTCGTCGCCTGCGTGCTGATGATCACCACGCCCTTCTTCCCCTCGTACCGGCAGTTGAACGCTGTCGGGCCCTCCGAGTGCTCGGACTTGTGGTCGTGCCCGTGCAGCACCCCCAGCCGGCGCTTCGCGTGCTCGTCCCCGATCGTCTTCGCGCGCACCTGGTCCACGCCCATGATCGTGCTCACGCCCGTTCGCGCGGTGCCCCTGATGAAGTTCAGGAGCCGGTGCTGCTTCTTGGGCTTTTCCTCCCTCTGCGCCTCTTTCTCTGCCTGCTTCTGCAAGTCTGGGTGCTGGATGGAGTCGAGCTCGGCTTGAGAGACTTCCATGGGCATGTCATCCTTCGATAACGGGGTCGTCGGGCGTTCCGGAGGAGGCTCGTGCGCATCGCGCGATGGCGGAGGGGGCAGTGGCGCCTTGTGGGCTTCAGCAATCCTTAGGAGAGTAAGCGTAAGCTGGGCATTTGTCGGCGCTCCTTTCAGGAAGGTGCTGCGATGCCAAGATATCAGTCAGGACCGGTAATACACTCGTGAAACAAACCCCACGTACTTGCGCGGCTCAAGATACCACCTCCAGTTGGGAACCTTCCTCACGAACCATTCCATGCCTCTGACGAGGACGAGCTGGCCGAAGAATGCAATCCCAAGTATAAATGTAGTGCCACGATACACCATCCTCTCGTCCAGGAACAACGATCCCAACACGAGCGGGGCAATCATCCCCGCAAGCCTAAACCTGACAGCGTGCCCAAACGGCGGAGTGGGCGACAAGGCACTACGCTCATGACATCAGTGCACAACTTTTAACACAACACTCCAGATCAGCGCGCTCACTTTGCAAACATCTCCCAAACATCCGCAATACCCGCAACCGCTCTCATCGCCGGGCGCGTCTTCTCCCACATCGCCTGATTCACCGGCTCCTTCGTGCTATCCACCTCCCCCTTCGGCTTATTCCCGCTGCTCACCTCCTTCAACTCCCCCGCGCCCACGATCATCTCGCCCACATCCGGCACGCCCCGCCCAAGTTCCTTATCCGCGCCGGGCAGCGCCTCGTTATCCACAACGCCCTCGTCAGCCTTCCTATCCGACCGCGCCTCCTCCGGGCCCTTCCCGATGGCCGTTCCCGCCGCCAGCCCCGCGAGACTCGTGACAAAGTTCGACGCCTCGTGCTCAACGGCCTCGCCGCGGTACCGCTCCGGCGCGCCCGTCAGCGAGTCCTTGCTGTCCAGTTGCCCGGAGCGCGGTTGCTGCAGCGTCCCCGTCGAGGCGGACACTGCTGCGAGAGGCGCAGGGGGGAAGAGGAACGCACGCGCGGGGGGAGAAAGGATGAGGGTCAGGATGAGGGTCAGGAAGGCGGGGAAGATGATGTTCAGTGCCCAGGCGACGCAGTAACCCTGAGACGCGTCAGGCAAGTGCGGACTGTAGCAGCGACTGTACGTACCACCAACCAGGCAATAGTTCGATTGCGCTCGTTCCACGAACGTAGTCGCGCGATGTGCTTTGCAAATGCTGCGAGACCGATGACCTGGCACGAATTCAGCCACAGCCACAACTGATGAAGCGCTGCGACGTACCACCGTGGCATACACACGCTCAATCTGACTGCGCAGTTTCTCGGGTGCAAACTCTTCCTCATCTGCCGGCCACAGGTCCAAGCCGCCAGGAAGCGGGCCTTCTACTGCTCTGACGTGGTAAAGTTGCTGCAGCTCGTTGAGTACTTCTGCGGACATTCAGAAATATCACGCTTACCTGATTGAACCTTCTAATCAGCGCCCACAGGTTCTCGTTATCCAGCCCGCTGACGAGTTGTCCCCCTGCAGGTTTTTCCCATCCCACATCAACGAGCCCCTTATCCACCTTCTCCTCGCCCACCACTTTCCCGTTCAGCACCTTTCGCGCACGCGGATTCTCCGGTGGAAATGCGTCGTCCGGCCTGGACGACTGCACTCCTTCCGCAGCAGCCGAATATGGCGGGGGCTGCGTCGTGTCGATCACCGTCGGCTCCTTTGACTGGGACGAGGGTTGCGTTGGGACGGTGGAAGGCTGGTCGGTAGTTTCTGTCGGCTTCTGGGCGGGTTGGGGCGGCAGAGGTTTGTCGGACGAGAAGACCCTCACGGGACAACCGTCGTAAAGGTCGACAAGGTCGACACGCACCCGAGAGACCATGCGAAGGAGCCCTCGACGTAGAATACGAGCATTGCCGTTGCCTTGAGCGTTCCAGTTGACTTGGGTGTTTCCGGTCGCCGCTGGCTGAGAGATCGCCTGGACAGCCGGGTGGCTCGGCGGAGCCACGTACAACTGGTCGGACAAGTCTGGCGTCGAGTTCGATGGCTATAACAGAGAAAAAGACGAGGTACTGACCTCCTTCAAGGCTGCTTTAATATGGGACGGTGGGAATGACATCACAGTCGGGGCGGCTGTCAAACACAACTGACAGTTCGCCGCACCATATAGGAGTTGCGCAGTCACA